AAACACTTTAATATTGATTGGTACATGTCGAGTTCATTTCGATATCAAACACTTTAATATTGATTGATACATGTCGAGTTCATTTCGATATCAAAAACTTTAATATTGATTGGTACATGTCCAATTCATTTCGATATTTTAAAACAATTGCGTTATTTCCTGTGTTAATTCTAACTTTTCTCCCACAGTAAGATATTCGTGTCTTTCGGTGTTGTTTACATTCGAGCGTCATATATCCCACCATTTAGTACAAGTTTTTGCGCCCAGTGCCTTGATCGTCATGCTGTCTTGGTTCTCATTCTGGATTGGAATAGACGCTATTCCCGGCAGGGTGACTTTGGTGGTGACTAGTCTGCTCTCTCTGTTTACCCAGTTTTCTGGAATCCGAGGAGGTCTCCCCCCAGCTTCTTATATCAATGTAAGTCTGCAATGAAACTCAAACTACAAGTTTTAAGAAAGACCAAATGTTTAAAATGTTTAATATCGTCTACTAAATGTCTAGAGCGTTCCGTTAGGGACTTAACAATCGTAGAAGCTATATTAAGAAATTCAAGTTTTCTCATATGAAGCAAATACAAATATTTGACAAATAAGCTTCTAATGTTAGTGAACCAAAATTCTTTTCTATATGATTTTTGTTTTTGTAAACTCTTGCTTCATCATATCTGAAGATAAATAAGTATTTTTTTTTGGGGTAGGGTGTCGACATCTGGATGGCAACCTGCATGTTATTTGTTTTTGCTTCGTTCGCCGAGTTCGTTTTGGTAAAGTTTTTCGACAAACAGCGTCAGGTTTTCTTCAGACAACAGATGAAGAAAACGCTCATAGGCGACTCCAGAAAGCATTTAGTAAGTTTCTTAATATCCTGAAATACAGGAGAGTGTGAAATTCACTTGTAGGTGTGAAATTAGATAAGTGTGAACTTTGGTAGCAGGTGTGAAATTGAAAAAGTGTGAACTTTGGTTGTAGATGAGAAACTGAATACAATTTTGGATTATTTTTATACATTTTATTTGTAGATGTGAAAGTAAACGAAATCCTGGACCAGTGTGAACTTTGGTTGTAGGCTTGAAATTGAACGAGTGTGAACTTTGGTTGTAGGCTTGAAATTGAACGAGTGTGAACTTTGGTTGTAGGTGTGAAATTTAACGAATGTGAACTTTGGTTGTAGGTGTGAAATTGAACGAGCGTGAACTTTGGTTGTAGGCTTGAAATTGAACGAGCGTGAACTTTGGTTGTAGGCTTGAAATTGAACGAGCGTGAACTTTGGTTGTAGGCTTCAAATTTAACGAGTGTGAACTTTGGTTGTAGGCTTGAAATTTGACGAGTGTGAACTTTGGTTGTAGGTGTGAAATTGAAACGAATGTGAGCTTTGGTTGTAGGTGTGAAATCGAACGAGTGTGAACGTTAGTTGTAATTTACATAGATATGCACAAAACAAATGCTTTACTACTGAAGCTCACTCAATGTACAGTAATCTCATAAAAAGTGAAAAAAATCAGAGTATGAGGCCTCGAACAGGTATTTACACGAGTTAACCAACAATTATTTTCACAAAGAAATAAATATAATATCCATAAAAGAAAGAGGGAGACACTACGCATAAGATATATGTATTTAAGCAAGAGATATATGTAAGAATTCCTATCATTACGTGTTGGTTGGTATAAGCCTAAATGAACTAATGGAATTTCTAAGTGTTAAACACACTAAATTCAGAAGTCGATAGAAATATTAAATTCCACGTTCACGTTTCGTTTACTTTTGTTTTAGTGGAAAACTGCACAATAGGCTAAATGCTCTGTGTCTACCTTGGGGATCGAACCCCGATTTCTAGCATTATAAGTCATTAAGCCTACCGCTGAGCTGGCGGGACATATTATTTTCCGTTCTCTGAGTTGAGATTTGGTTGTTGTTAAACTCAAGGCTATGCCACAAGTTGTATCAAAACCCGATATCTAGTGTCGCAAGCCTGCATACTTATCGCTCAGATACTAGGGGGCGTAGAAGGGTGACCTTTTCAATATTTCACTTATATGGAAAGCTTTGTGGTAAAAGTGCAGACAAAGCACACGAACCTATATTGTGAACACGGTTAGCACCTGACATATTAGAAATATAGAACTGAAATTAAATTTTTGTACGTTTCATAATCCCGTCCACTCCCAAGGGTTCAGGCTCTAACATAACTTGCTGAAAATGTCTTCTTATTTTATTACATATCATTTATGTTCCACTTCTGTTATAGGTTATTTTACATTAGGAACTCTGTAATTTTTCTTCTTGTAATGATCGAGACGTTTAACCTATTTTTCGTTTGTTTTTCTGCAAAATAATTTCGAGAAGCGGTGGAATTAAGGTTTATATGCAAGACGATCACGTGTACTTAAAGTTTGTGTTACTATGGTGATCATGTAAATAAGTCTCTCCTATGTAAAGGCTTTGAGCCTATAGTTTAGAGAAGAAATTAAATACAAATCAATATTTTGAATTTTCAAGGTCCGGTTTAACTGCGCTAGCTAAAAAAAATAAAAAAGTTACGCAAAATAGAATTTAAAATAGCCAATTTTCAATCAGTGTTGTATTATTGAATATATATAATACAGAACATTTTCTTATGACTTGCACATTTTCCCCTTCCGTGCTAACTCTTATAGAGAGGGTGATTATGTTCCTTAACTATCAGAAAATGAGAATAGGTTTCAGTAAAAAAGGAACAATGCATTAGTTATAGCTAATTTCGCATGATTAACAAATGTTCTAGTTTTGTAGTGCTCACGTGGAACGAAAAAACAAATAATCATAACTCAGTTGTTCGACTGGAAGAATACTGAAATAAAATTTCTTTTTAAGATTTCAAAACCGTTAATTATTGTTAATTGTGTTGGATACATCATTATAATTATTAAACAAACATTATGTATTAGCATTATCTTACACTTTGTAAAAATTATTGTTAGTTGTCAAAGGTACAATGTTAGGGTAACTAGATACCATATATCATTCAGCTGTCTTATACTACAATAACTATTGTTGCAGTAGATACAGTGTTAGGGTAACTATACGACACATTTTTCTGCTTTATATTGCAAGAGCCATTGTTGCAGTAGATACAGTGTTAGGGTAACTAGATACCATATATCATTCAGCTGTCTTATACTACAAGAACCATTGTTGCAGAAGATACAGTGTTAGGGTAACTACACAACACACATTGTTCTGCCTTATACTACAAGAACCATTGTTGCAGTAGATACAGTGTTAGGGTAACTACACGAAACAT